AACTAGACCAACAAAGCAGATGAGACTAAAGAGTTTGAGCTTTATTCTGCCAACAACAGGAAGGACCTCTGGTTTCTGGGAAGGCCTGTATAACTGTCCCTCTACTCTGAACTGCATCCCACTTACTACACCACCCACCCCCTAGACAGGGAAGGCCATTGTTCTCCTTCCAGGGAGCATCTCACTAGGGGCAGCTGTTTCTCAGAAGGAAATTGGTTTTAAGTAAATCTATGCTTTTGTCATCGTCTGTCCTCTCTGACCCACAGTATCTAGAACTCTCAGGGAACAGGGAAGTAAATTTCCTAGTTGCAGAAAGAACACTTCATTCTCTCCTTTGTGGCGGAAATCTCCCTATATTATGAGCTTGGTGATGTGGCTACAATCCCTCTACATTGTGAGCTTGGGGAGGGCAGGGGTTTTGGATCTCATTTGTCCCCAACCTGATTCCTTCTGAGTTCAACACAATCTCTGCTGAGGTTGGTGAAGTGGATGAATTATTTAAAGAGGAAGAGAGTGATGGGGCAAACTGAGTAAACAAAATATTTTACTGATTGAGGGTCTCAAAGGGCTTTAAGCCATTCTTCTGCACTTCTGTGCCAAGTGTCTGGGGGTGGAGGTCCAGAGGAGCAGGGAGATACCATTCATTGAATACTAGGGTGTATTATCTCTTAATCCTCAGAACAATCCAGAAAAGTAGATGCCCCTCTTCCTCTTAAGGAACACTTGTGATTCAAACCCACCAGCTGCTCCAAGACTGTAAAGACATACAGTCTCTGAAACCCTAAGGAACCGTTCTGCTCTGCCATATAGGGTCACTAAGAGAAGTGGGCTTGGTTTGGGTTGATTTTCTCCTTTTAGGAGAAAATAAATCTTGGAAGGGAGAAGAGGCTTGCTCTGAGCTTCCAGTTAGAAAGTGGTCTGAGTCTAAATTCTTTCTAAAGACGTTAACTTCCAAATACTCCAGGTACCGGGTAAGGGTATGGAGGGTACAGAGAGAAGGACTAAGACTTGATGAGTCTGGCAGGCAGAAAACTGAGAGCCCCACCTCAGTTGCAAGTATTTGGGGTAGGGGAGAGGTGAGCTTAGGAGCAAAAGGAGGGTCACCATATCCCCAGGTCAGCAACACCACCAGTCCAGCTTCTTTGCCCCCACCCACAGAGCTTTTCCCCCCTGCCAGTAACACATTCCCTAGCCAAGGCATCCCCATGGCAGGGAGGGCTCTGGGAAGAGTGCAGATGCAGTGCAGGCCCCCCTCTTCCTCCTCCCCATGGCCCCACGAATCACCCGGTATTGCAGGCCCATCTCATTGGTTCTTCCCGGGTTACTCATCTCTCCATCTTCTCAGCCTGTGGTTGCTGTGGAAACAGAGAGCAGTGACATCACCATAGGGTGAGAGCTGAGGACATGCTGCTCTTAGCAGGAATTGGTCCTGCTGCATGCCTGATGCTATAGCCACATCTGGATCTGCCCAGGGCAAGACAGGGGAGCAGCAAGAGGGACAGGACTTACGTTCCTTCCATCTTGTTCCTCTTCCCCCAAATGTAGGGAGCATAACAGGGCAAAAAGGATGCAGGTATGAAGGGGTGAAGTTCAGGAGCCACTCTTAATGATGGGATCTAAAAAGGGTAAAATGGGAGTAGGGCACGGAAAGTTGTAGGTCTGGAGATTCTCAAAGCATCATACTATTCAATGGAGGGGCAAGGTGGGACAGGACAGAAGACTTCCTCACAACTGCAGCAATTTCTATTCCTGTCTGAGACATCACTACATTGCAGATTAGGGAAGGAAAGCAGTTTGCCTTAGGTGAGGGACAGAGCTGAGACTAGCTACCATTGGGAGGAAGATGAGGCTTAGAAACCCTATGCAGAGTCGCTATGAGGCAGAACTGACTGCACGGCAGATCACCACCACCTCCACCACCATGCTCAGCATTTAAAAATGTATTCTCTCTTTTGTGCTCCAAATACTTCTGTGAGGTAAATACTGTTATTATCTCCACTTTAAAGATAAAAACAAGAGATTCAGAGTGTTGTAAGTGAACTGCCCAAGGCCACACAGTTTACACAGTGGAATCAGGATTGGATTGCTAGTTTTCCTGCCAGCAGCTATGAGCAATCCAAGCTCCCCCAACCCCTGCATTACAAGAAACATGTAGGAAGAACAGCGCTGGTCTCTGAGTCTTTGGCCACTAGGTATTTGAGAGAGTAGGTTTCTGTGGGAAAAGGGTGACCTTGAGTCAGAAACCAATTGCCCCACTCCCACCTCTGTACACACACACCCTGCCCCTGCTCCATCAGTGAACTCACCCAGACTTTATGCCCAACCTTCAGACATGTCCCTATAGCTTTGGTAGAAATAGGCTTCAACTCTGGCAATTGGGCTTGTCCAAAGGAACCAAGGTCTTGTGGGTAGAGAGGGCTCTTCCTCCCTGGCCTCCTTCCCAGGACAGCCATGGGAAAAAGGAAAGTGCAGATGTTCATTCTTTCTACTTGAAGAAGTAGAGGCTCAGGAAGGAGGGACGCCGCACTGTGCCTGTGTGATACACGTCCACCCTGGCCAGGCTCTCCTACCGGGCAGGGCCTCCTTCCCTCCTCCAGGAATGTGCTTGCACTTTATTCCTCTGGGAAGCCTTCCCTGGAACCCAGATCAGGACAGGTCTCCCAGAAAGTCATCACATTGGCTTTGTGTCAGCCTCCCCCAAAGCCTGTGAGCTACTTGAAGGTGTGTCTCATTCAAAGCTCTCTCTCTAGGGCCTCAGAAAGTGGATACTGAATAATTGCTGAATTAATAAACGAATGGTTTCCTCTACACTTCCATTTCTTCATCAACCAAAGGGGCCCTAAGGGGGCAGTGATTAAGTGCTTGGCTGAACCCACCAGCCCCTCCATGGGAGAAAGATGTGACAGTATGCTTCCATAAAGAATGCAGCCTGGACACGCTCTCAGGCAGTTCTACTCTATCCTATAGGGTCACTATGAGCAATGGGTTATTATCTGAATACACCAAATTCACGGCCAAAATTTATCTGCACTATGGCTGAGACCTAATTTTGATCAACTTTTAGAAAAGACAAATACATAATTTTGGGACATCATCTCCTTGCTTTTCAATACACTCTATCTATCAACAAGCTTTCATATTCCCTTATTAAAAAAATGTTTTAGGCTGAGCTGTGAGCCATGAATGTACCATGGTCTAAGAGGTGAATCTTCATCCCTGAAGGGCTGCTTTCAGGGAACCAAACAGGTGAAAGTCCGATGGAGCAAGGTCAGAGCTATAGAGAAGATGCTTTAACACCTTAAAATGAAGTTTTTGCAGAGTCAACAGTGTGGGCACAGGTATGCAGACGTGCATTGCTATGCAAGATTACAATGCCCTTGGAAAGCAATCCTCACTGCATTTAGTCTGAAGTTTAGGCTTCAGCTTTTCAGTGAGTATCTCACTGTAATGAGCCCTGTTGATTGTTGAACCTTTTTCTTGATGGTGTCCCAATACTGGTCTGTGAGAATCCCAGAAAACTGTAAGCATGAATTTTCCAGCTAATGGTTGACTTTTGAGCTTTCTCTTGGTCAGCGATTGAGGATGTTTCCATTCCATACTATGCCATTTACTCTCAGGCTCATAGTGATGAATCCATGTCTCATCACCAATAACAATTTTTTAAAAAATAAAGTTTTACTTTTCTTGGAGTATTGGTCCAAATTTTGTTTGCAGATGTTCAAGTGCTTCTGTATATACTCTTTCATGAGTTGTTTTGGTATCTATCTTGCGCAAACTTTTCAAAGCCCAAGTCTGTCATGGATTTCATAGGCAGAGCCATGCTGATTTGCAGATGATTTGCCACATACTCCAGTCACTTGTCTAGACGACAGACTCGTTTCACATGCACGCTCAATGTCGCCATCAACCATAGACATGGAGGGGTGTTTTAATATAACCTGAGTGCGTATACCTGTGTACTTAAAGCCCTCAGTATAAGATGGGTTTTATTACTGACAGTGCGTTCGTTGTAAACAGTGATGTCTGGAACAACTCCTCACAGTTGCTGAAATGGCTGTGGGTAGGAGGGAGATGGCTGAGGGGACAGAATTTCTGAGGAGGGTGGGGCAGAGGGAATAATTTGAGGAAAACTCTTTGCTGTGCTTTGTTGTTAAGTTGCTGCTGTTAAGTATTGTCGAGTTGGCTGTGATTCAGCGACCCTGCACAAGGTTTTCGAGTAGCAGCTGGTGGGTTTGAACCACCGACCCTGTGGTCCGCAGCCCAGTGTTTACCCTACAGCGCCACACGTTAGAGGTCAGAAAATTCTGGAGCACTTGGAGGGGCAGGTGGGGTACTGGACTGCGCTGCCTTCAGGCGCCCTCCAGAGACATTCCTCCGGGAGGGGGGAGCACCTGTGGGGTGAGGAGAAGAGTCACCCTTTGGCCCAGAGGAGGTGGAGGACCTGCTCAACCCCGCTGGGGCTCTGGAGTCAGCTAGGCCAGGCTTGCAATCTGGGTGTCAATCCAATTCCTCCTTCTTAGAAACACTTCCGTTCCCCTCTGTGCCTCGGGTTTCTCACCTGTACAATGGGGACAATGATACCTGCGCCGCAAGAATCCGGCTAAACATGCCCCAGCGGGGTATCAGTTCAGGGACGCGTCTCCTTTCTCCTCTAGCCGTTCATCTCTGTGCTGACCCCAAGCTAGGGCAAGGACTGGAGGGCAGATGTTCGAGGTTGTGCGCCCTACCTCCCGGGCACTATGCTACCTAACCGCTTCCTTCTCGGATTCGACGAGTGCCTGTAGGCTAGAGAACCGAGCAAGTCCAGCCAGATACCAACGCTGACGTAAGCGAGCAGGGCACCACGGCCTGACTCCCTCCCCCTCTGCAGATTGGAGGCTGGGCGTCCACCAGCCTCGGTCTTCCTATTTCGGAAGCCCGGGGCTTGGGTCAGATCGCCTCACGTGATGCGAGGGCTATTTAAAGAGCCAAGGCGGGCTGCGAGCCGCCGGTCCCGGAGTCTTCGCGCGCTTGCTCTCTCGTAGCTTCTCTTGCAGCCCAGCCCATTCTCACCATGGTAGACGCCTTCGCAGGCACCTGGAAGCTGGTGGACAGCAAGAATTTCGATGACTACATGAAGTCTCTCGGTGAGCGAGGCTCGGGAGGCTAGGCTGGGGATGGGCTGGCGACGTGCCTAGCGCAACGCTCCCGCCCTAGATGCTGTCCTGCGCGCAGACTACGTCTTTTTCTTGGTTGGAGAGGGGGACTCGAGGTGGCAGCCTGGGCTGGGGCCTGGCGGGGACTGTTGCGATGGGGCTTCCATGGGGAGGTGCAGAAAGGAGGCAGATGCCGGTCGATATGGGGGCAGGGACGCGCTTTCCAGGAAGAAGGGTATATGCTTTGGCGATAGTAGGAGGGCGCTTGGATCACAGTAGAGCATTAATGACAGGTGAGAAGCTAGTGGAAGGAATGAAGTACGGGATCGACAAAAACGGCCATCGGTTAAGAATTGAAGGAGATCCTGAGCACCAGAAGGGGGATGGGATGGACGGGCGAGTATATTATTAAGTGCCTTGGAGTCATTCTGACTCACAGCAACCCTGTGTAGGGCTTCCGGGAGTGACTGGTGAGTTTGAACCACTAATCTTGCGATTAACAGTCCCGTGCTTATCCTACAGCGCCACACCAGTATAGCTTTAGGGCAAAGATAGTAGGGACTGAATCACATATGGTAGATAAGGCTGAGAAGGCTCAGATAAACAACAATCCCTGCTCCCTGTCCTTGTTGGGTTGGGACTGGGATTGTTGAAGGACATTCTTTTTCTTACTAGACAATCCTGTAATGGTATGGTACCAGGCTTTCATCACTGGCAGTGAGCCTAGTGCTAGGGTGGGGAAAAGGCCTGCTAACCAGCAGGACTTGTCCTGCATCCCAACACTCAGCAACCCCTTAAAAAAATCGATTCCAACTTATGGCGACTCCATGTGTGTCAGATGAGAACTGCACTCCACAGGGTTTCATTGGCTGATATTTTGTAAGTAATTCGTCAGGTCTTTATTCTGAGGTTCCCATGGGTGGACTCGAACTTCTAACTTTTCAATTAGCAGCCAAATATGTTATCATTTGCCACCACCCAGGGACTCCAGTAACACCTTGAGGAGTAACGTGAGAAAAGCCATTGGACTTCTGGGGTGTTGTAGAAGGTCCCAGAGCAAGGTCATTACCTGTTAAAGACAGAGAAGGTTTAGAAGGGTGGGGATAGCTGTGTGGTGTTACGAATAAATATTAAAAGAATCTTACAAAGGTGAGAACATTGGAGAGCCCCATTAGTTCAACAGTTGGGGAAACTGGGGTCTAGTGAGAACAGAAAATCCTAACCAATTCCACAACAAAACTTAAACAAAAGCTAGGTTTCTAGATGTGTCCTCTGGAGCGCTTCCCACTACTTTATAGGACCTGCAAGTGGAAGAATCACTTAGCCTTTTGATGGCAGCCTTTCCTCTCCTGATTTGGGCCTAGATGGAGGTGATTATCCTTTCTATGAAGTCCTCAGCATTTTCAAAGCGTTTATTTATCCATGATTTGGGAGGCGGGTAGAAAGAGCATCCCATTATACAGATTTAGAAGGTGGTATTGATAATGAGCCTGGTAGGCACTGGAGGATACGCACGGGATCGCAAGGTTGGTTTGAATCACAGGGTCAGTGGTTCAAACTCACCAGTTGCTCCAGAAACCCTATACAGGGTTTCTGTGTCAGAACCGACTCGACGGCACTTACTAACACCAACTTTGATAATGAGCAGTTAGGACACCAATCTTGGTCTCCTGACTTCTAGTCTAATGCGCTGTTGGACTCCCATCCTGAAACCTGAGGATATTCACAGTCAAGAGTTGGGCCCCATGCCTTCCTCCCAGGGCCACATTGTAGCAGATACCCAAAGGAGTGGGAGATCCACTCCTGGTACCTTGCACCTCTGCTACTAACCCTTCTGTGAAACAGGGGCCACCAAGTGTTGGCTCTTACGGCCAAAGCTCCCAACTGCCCCTACTCTATGCTAGATACCATGCCTAGTGATTCCATGAAGGTATCCATTCTTAGATATACTGGGGTTCTGGGCAGCTGCTGGGGAAGATGGAATTAACCAGGTTTAGTTCCTCTGCCTAAAGCAGACATTTGGACCAAGAGCCAAATCCTAAATTGGGCTCCAACATACTTTCCACTCTTGTTCCTCTTTTCTGCCCAACTTTGAGCTAGGGAACTGGTCTTCCTAAAGACCTTTTTGGGGGACAGCTTCTTGGTAAGAGACTGTGATCCCATCCATCCTTCTATTTTCACTGTACAGAAAGGCTGAGGGCCGATGGAGGACCTTAGCTTCATTTCTAAGTCGAACCTAGCTCTTCCCAAATCTCCTAAATTCTCTCGGTCCAACTTTTACTTTCTCTTGGCTCAGTCACTTACTCACCCCATAGTAGTTCCCTTCCTCTGGGGTAAATTGTAGTGCCTGCTCTATGCTAGAGTGTGGCTGGCCTGACTTTGAGGCCAGGGACAAGGCCAAGTCCCTCAAGGACCAGGCAGGTTGCATGGGCATCTGGGCAGTTGCAGAGGCAGTCTTCGCCTCTTTTAATCTAGACCAAGGGACCAGTGGAGGTCAAGACCCAGTCTGGCACTAGCAACTACAGGCACATGTGATGATCTTGATACTTGGAATGGGTGTGTCCTGAAGGCAAAATAACCTATGGGAATAATGAACACTTTGGAGCCTGTTAGTCCTAGATTCAAATCCAGGTTTGATTTTGGGACAGTTATTTCACTCTCTGAAAATTGTGGCTTAATTGTCATCCAAGCAGGATATAGGTATACAGGTGAGACACTAGTGAGGTCAATCATTCAAAATCAAAAGGGCAGCATTTACCTAAGGACAAAATTCAGATGGGTTGTGAAGGTAGGAGGAGGGGAAACAGGAATCACAGGAAGAAAGTGGGATAAGTGATGTTACATTGAGGGAGTTGTAGTGGGTTGATGAAACCACAAGGCTATTGGAGGGTGTTAGAGAAGCAGATTAGATGGAGATGGTAATGGCCATCTTGGAAGTTCCCAACTGAGATTATCTTTGACCCCCAGCAGGGACAGGGAAAAACAGAATGGTGTTCATGATCAAGAGCTGACTAGTTGGGAAAAAAATTTTTTTAAAAAAATTTATCAGACATCACTTCACCACACTGGGCTAACCCCTGCCAGAGGGACAAGGCACTCATGTTGGGAGGTTTGTGGCCAAAAGTCAGATGTCCACAGAAGCTGCAACCTGAAAGGGGGTGAAGGCTTTGCATGTTAAAAGCTCTTTCTTACTGACAGGATACTTAAGACTTTGCCCAGTGCCCAGGGAAGTCAGGCTTGGGTCAGGATGGAAGTCTCACAGAGCATTAGACTAGAAGATGGAAGACCTGGATTGGAGTGCTGACAGCTCCTTGTTAATATCACCTTTGTTGTTAATTTCTGACTGTTAGGGATCCTGTATAGGGTTTCCAAGGAGGGGCTTGAGGGTTTGAATCACCAACCTTGCAGTTAGCAACCCAGTGCACATCCTATCATACCACACCAGGACTCTCTACCTTAGTCCAGTGCTTATCCTACAGCGCCACACCAGGAGTTATACAGGGCTAAAATGATGAAAGTGTCTTAAATACTACCAAATACCTTGAGAAGGATCTGGGGGCTCAGGATCATAGTCTCAGGAGACACCTTGGTTAATTGGCATAATGTAGTCTACAAACACCATGTTCTACATTCAATTATTTGCGAATTGTTGTAAGTGCCTTTGAGTCAGCTTTGACTCATAGATTCTATATAGGGTTTCCAAAGAGCAGCTGGTGGCTTTGAACCATCAACTTTTCAGTTAGCAGTCCAATGCTTATTCTATAGTGCCACACCAAGCTCATGAGCCGCCAATTAAGTACAACTATTGGTCTCCCTGGGTGGAGGACTGAAGAGTGATGAAAACTGAAAATGATGGGAATCAATTAATCCAACAGACTAATCGAATACATGAACACCAGTCATCACATCCCTGAGACCAGAAGAACTAGATGGTGCCCAGCTATCACTACCAACAGTTCTGAAAAGGATCACCACATTAGAAGGTCCTGGATAGAGTATGAAAAAACGTGGACCAAAAATCAAAAATATAAAAAAGACCAGGCTGTCAAGCAAGAGACCTGAGGAACCTGAGACTATAACCTTCAGTCCCCCTTCAGGTCTGGAACTGAACTCACTTTTGTGGCTTAATTTTCATCCAAGCAGGATATAGGTATACAGGCAAGACATTACTAGTGAGGTCAACCATTCAAGATCAAAAGGGCAGCATTTACCTAAAGACAAAATTCAGATGGGTTCGGAGAGGAAGAGGAAAGGACACAAGAATCACAGAAAGGAAGTAGGATAAGTGATGTTACATTGAAGGGATTATAATCATTAAAATGAAATGAAGGGTATGATTTATTGAATGTAATGCTCCATAAACCTTCACTTAGTTCCAATAAAAAGTTTTTGTTTTTTTTTTAACTGAAAACTATTGGTGAGAAGTCATGCTGAAGAATTTTTTTCTGTCACAATACATATGCTAATTTTGTTGAGAAACCTTATCCCATCCATCCTATAGGCCTGATCTTGCCCCTCTAGATTTCTTTTTGTTCCCCAAACTCAAAGAACATTTAAAAGAAACACTATTTGAGTTCTCCAGGATGCTAAAATTTTGACATGGTGTAAATTGAAGAGTGTAAAATTTTTTCGGGGAAGGAGCAGATACGTAGATGTGTATACCTTTAGGAGTGTATACACCTAGATGGAAGATATGTTGAGAAACAATAGCTTCACATTTTAATTTTTTTTAAATAAAGGTTTCTGTGACTTTATAGCAATACTTTTTGACTTATCCTTGTAAATGGTTGCTTACTTAAATCCCAGTTCATAAGTGGCCCTCTCAGGTGCAACTACTGGTCTCTCCCTGGGTGGAGGACACAAGAGAGTGATGAAAGCTGAAAATGATTGGACTCAATTAGTGCAATGTACTAACGGCATACATGTCTATTAGAATACTGCTGTGGCATGTTGGAGGTTTCCCATCTACCTCATGGGATCAAGTCTCTTCACTGCATACAGTAAAGGGGAAGACTGAATTTTTTAAATGTCCATGGAAGGGCTTTGAAACTCACGTCCACTTCCTCACACCCAAGTCTAAGAATTGGTCCTTGAGCTCCTGGTATCTGCCTCCCTACTCCAACTCATATCCAAGGGAGTTGTGTGTTTTGCAAAAGTGGATTATTTGCATAAAAATACAGTAAATTTTTCTTTCCTCAGGTGTGGGTTTTGCTACCAGGCAGGTGGCTAACATGACCAAGCCTACTACAATCATTGAAGTGAACGGGGACAACATCACCATAAAGACACAGAGCACCTTTAAGAATACGGAGATCAACTTTAAGCTGGGAGTGGAGTTTGATGAGACAACAGCAGATGACAGGAAAGTCAAGGTAAGTCAGGGAAAGGGGTTCTGAGATGCACGGTGATAGGACCCTGGGAACAAGTGGCTGGTACCCTTGACTTGTCACTGCATCCAGAGGCGATTGAAATGAAACAAGGTTCATAAAGTCTGCAGTGCTGGAATGTCCCAGGAGCTAAATTAAAATGCATGCCAATTCATCTGTTTCCTCCCTTCTCAAGAAGCATTCACTACTAGCTGCCTCTGGGAATGCCAGGATAAAAATCTCAGCCCTGTGGGCAGTACAGAACCAAGATGTTCTTCTCATCTCAGTGTCTGCTCCAGCTCCAGCTGGGTGACCTTGTGCAAGGCATGCAATAGCTCTGGAGTCCTGTCTACTTTCCATAGATGGGGGAGTTATGTGGTCATGGCTGTGATGTGAAGTACTTTGGGAACAATGCCCAGAAGTCAGGGCCTTCCACTTAATGACAAGGTCATGTTGGCCTCCAACAGTTAAGAGGCAGTTAGGGACACCAGGCTGAGACTTAACTCAGATGTACCTCTTCTTCAATCATCAACTCTTGGGCTTGGCCAATGACCTTGAACAATTTGTTGATGCCAGCTGAGTCAAGAAAAGCTGCAAGGTTCTGGGATGGGGCATTCCCAGTCTTGGGTATGTTTGTAGTGTCTTCCCAGCAAGCCTTAGGCCCACAGTCTCAGGGTTCTGTCACACTGCTGTGGCTCTATGTGCCTTGACAGCTTGCTGTAGGCTTCCCAGCCTTGGGGCAGGCATGGGAGAGAGCTAAGGGGAATTGACATTTCTAGGGTATCTCTACAACAGTATCCTCCCCATCACCACCCTGTCACCTAGCTCCTCAGCTGTTTCCTCTTCCTCACAGCTGTCCCCAGGAAGGACAGGGGAGGGTCTGGTCTCCATGCAGAGAAAGAGGAGCTGGAGCCCAGCCCAGGACCACACAGGAGGCTGGCAGCAGAGCTGGAGATGACATCCAAGGCTGGCAGCCAACTTTGGATAAAGGTGGCTGACTCACCACATTTTCCTCCTTCTTGGACTTGCCTACCTTCTCAATGGGGCAAGAAATGCAATTAAACTCCATAGTAGTACTCTGGGGGTATCCAGACCCAAGGTCGTCTGCTCTGAGTGGGCAGAAAGCTGGAAATGAATGAGCACGTGGTAGTGGTGGTGGTGAGGACAGCACTCCAGGAGATCAGTGACCCCCCTCCGTGCTCTCCACCACACACACATAGCTTCTCAGATTCTCCTACTGAGCCCTGCCCAGACAGGGTCCCATAGCATGTTGTGGTGGTGGTGGAGGTGGTATGCCGTGGAGTCAGTTTCGACACAGCGACCCTGCACAAGGTTCCCGAGGCTGTAAATCTTTATGGGCGCAGAAAGCTTCATCTTTCTCCTGCGGAACAGCTGGTAGTCTCGAACTGCTAACCTTGAGGTTAGTAACCCGATTCGTAGCCACTACGCTACCAGAGCTTCTTGTAATCTGCCATAGAGCACCCAAATTCTTAGAGAGATGCCTGGGAGAATTAACAACTGAGAACCAGCTGGTGTAAGCTAAAGCTAGATAAGCCCCAGGACTAAGTGTACATTTGACCTTAGAAAGTGGAAAACTTCAAGGGCATTCAGTCCTGGGTCCCTGCAGTTGCTTCCCATTTGTCAGCTGATGGGACCAAATGGTATGGATCAAGAAAGGAACAGGAAGTCAAATTTTCTAATATATCTCATCACTAGGAGTATGACTGTTAGACATTATGTATAGTAACCCACAAGGCCAGAGATTCTCAGGAATACTTGTCCTCAGCCAGGTTTTCCTACCAGGGATAGTCTAGTTCATGCCCCCTGGACTTTAGAGGAGCTGAAGCATCCTTTACACTATAGAATAACCGCCCATCTCAAAGGCTGCTGGTGTTTCTGAGAGCTAGACTGTCTGGCTCCACCATACTGCCGGCCTCTCCCTTACTCTGCCAGCACCTGGAGGCCCTTCCCCCCATTTAGGCATAGTGGAATAGAGACTGGAGGTGAGCTAGACATCCTGTGGTGATCAGATGGAGCCATCACTAGTTTGGGTTAGAGACCTGGTGACCAGACCCCATTCGGCTCTGTAATCTAGGCTGAAATCACAGATTAGGCCTCTACTCTTTCCCCACAGTCCACTGTGACGCTGGATGGAGGCAAACTGGTCCACACGCAGAAGTGGGATGGGCAAGAGACAATACTTGTTCGGGAACTACGTGATGGAAAACTCATACTGGTAAGATGAGCAATTTTGGAACTTCACCTAACTGCTGCCCCTTCAGCAAGCCTATTTTAAAAAGCGAAGATCCTCCTCTGGGAACACTGGAACTGGGATAGTGAAGGGGTGGCATTAGGTAGGGGTGGTTCTCTCTATTGTGGTTTTGGAATCAGATAGGGATAGATTCAAATCTCAGCTAACAGGCTGCCTGACCCTAGACAAATCAAAATCTTGGGGTCCAGTTATCTAAAATTACCATGTAGGGCTGCTGGAAAGTCTGAAGGAGATAGCATATGTACAGGACAAAGCACCAGCATGCTGGGAGGAATCCAGTAGGTGCTCCATAAACTTTACTTTCGTCTCTCTACGACATTCCCCTCTCCTATCCAACACTGCCTCCCATTCTCCTCCCTAGGACTGCATTGTCACATGCAAGCCTTTGGGAAGGGCCAAGCTTGGTGGCTGATCCTCTAGATGACAGTACACTCCTTTCTACCTCACTTCAGCCCCCCGCCTCATTACTTCCCATGTACCTGCTTACTGCAAATTCACTACCGCATAGGAAATAGTGATACAACCAGGCCAGTAGATCTGACTTTACCCAGAGAAGACATGCCAAGACTCAGACAGAATAAAAGCCACCTGTGGTCTCTGCCTCCTAACTCTTGTGAGGCCTGATGTTTTTGTTGTAGCATCGAAACTTTTGACTTTCTGGGGTCAGTGCACCAAGATAACTGTATTCTTGAACCCACAAGGACAGGGACCCTGTGGAATTAGGATTTGGATACAAATACAGGAATGCAGGACCAAATACAGGGCAATTGGACTATATTCTTCCAGGAAGTGGTAAGGCCATGGGTCTAGCTCTTGGAAGCCAGATGGATGGTGGGTGCTAGGGCTTTGGCCATCGCATTGTACTAAGGAAATGAGCATTAGTGGCCTAGTACAGTCCTTTCCCAAGAGCTACCAGACAGTTAGTCACCTGTTTGTCTACTGTGTGCAGGCCTTAAGCACCAAGGATGAAGGAAGCAGATTGATGCAAGGCAAACAGAGACATTCTGGGATCTTGACCAAGTTACTTCCTCTCTCAAGCCTTATTTGTCTAATTCTCTAAAATTAAAATTATAATGCCTATCTTAAAGACTTGGTAAAAAGATCAGGAAAAAAAATACATGTATAGTGCCTGGCCACATAATAAACACCTAAGAAATGAAGATGTTTATGATGTTTAACCTGTCACCTCTGCCCTATTCTAACTCCATCTTTCCTTCCAGACACTTACCCATGGCAGTGTAGTCAGCACTCGTACCTACGAGAAAGAGGCATGAACCTGCTCACTCCTCCATCAACTGCTCTGTCAATCGGCTACTACTGGACTCAGCACCACATTGCCTCATTTTTTCCCTTTGGCATTTTTTATAAATCCACTTTGGTTGGGGAATTCTGGGATCAGGTGGTACCAGCCTGGTTCTGGCTCCCATTGTATATGCTTGTCTTTTTTAACTGTAACTAAAGGGTGCTCTGAGGTCAATAAAGTAAAGCCCAAGGCCACTCAATTGCCTTTTCGCCTTCGGTGACATGGCTCTGAGTCTGTTACCTCTGTACACCAGCCCAACAACAGAACTGACTGTCTGAAAGTCATGAAGAGCAAGAAGCACTGAACAGTCTTCTGAACAGTCTCAGGGATAGTGGTAGGTCAGCGATCACCTGACACAATCAATAATAAAACATCTATACCAAGTGGCAGCATTGATGGACTCAAGCGTGGCAACAGTAGTGAGATTGGCCCAGGATCAGGCAGTGTTTCATTCTGCTGTGTTTAAGGTCGCTATGAGTTGGCATCGACTCGATGGCACCTAACAACACCCTACTTATTGACAGTGTAACAACTGTGAGGACGGCACAGGACCAGGCAATGTTCCACTTTGTTGTGTGTAGGGTCACTATGAATTGGAACTGACTCGATGACATCTAACAACACTTACACTTTCTTTACACTACCCATTGACCATTGTCAAATGACCTAGCCCAATCTGCAAAACTCAATGGCGTGGCTTCCCCAGTGCATGTGTCCCACACTGAATGCTCTAACTCTGGGGGAAAGAGTTCACCTGGTCATTAAAGAGGAGGGCTCCTAAGTGATCTCCCAAGAAAGCTGTGACCTGCTCGCACCCCTGGCTCTACTTGAGCTGGGCCTCTCTCCAACATATAAGGTAACATATTAAATGTTTGTCAATGAATGCAGGCTCAGAGACTTTATAAATTATTTAGGAAGAGGAGCTAAAGGAAAAAGAACTTTCAGTTGTTTAAAAAACCAAACACATTTCCACTAAATGCATGTGTCCCAGGAATTTAAGCAGAGAACTGAAGTGGAACTGACTTGCACGGTAGTAAACAACAAAGTAGAACAACGATCTTGGCTTGGGCTGTCTGGTTCAGTGGTCTGGCGGAATGTCACACAAGCTCAGTCACTGAAAATAATCATGTTCTGGTGGTAGCCACTGGCTGTCACTTGCAGCATGGTAGAACCGTGTTAGGGAGCACCACTTTTTACCAAGTTCTCCCTCTGCCCGCATGCTGGATGCAACAAGGATCACTCACCAATGAGCCCAGGGCAGTCGAGCAGGGAGGGACTGATTGCTTTGTTCTCCCACTACAGCCAGACTTGGCTCCACAGCAAGCAGTACCTGTGGCTCTAGCTTGGGGCTTCAGTGCAGGAATCCAGCTCTGGCAGTGGTAGCTACAGAACAATACGACCTCCTACTGTTGGGGGAAATGCATGGGGAGTTGCAGAGGTCACTTGTGAAGGTGCCGGGAGTGATCAGGCAGCTGTCCTTGCCAACTAACTCCCAACCCTGCCTGGTGCATGAGGGGAAGCCATCACTCATGGGAGAAAAGTAAATGGGGTGGAGGACTTATTCTCACTCCCAGTGCTTTTCAGGGCTTTAGGGGACAAGGCTCCTGGTTCCTTATTCTCTCAACCACCCCCTCTACTCTCCACTCTCATTCTTTGTGCCTCTTCTTCTTGCGCTTCTTCTTCTTTTTCTTCTTCTTTGCTGCCTTGCTGTCTTTTGATGTGTGTCTTGCCCTCTTGCCTGTATCACTCTCTGAGTCTGAGCTGTCAGAGTCAGATGACTTCCTCTCCCTGTGCTTCTTTTTCTTCTTTTCCTGAAAAGAAAAATTTAGAGGAAGCATTAACATGTATATTTTCTTTAAAATAAAGTGAAAGAAACAAGCCATCGTTTAGTATGTATTGTAGATTCATGTTTAGTATTTTAGATTCATGTAAATATGGAGCTCTGGAGTGGCGTTGTGGGTTAATGTGCTAGACTACAAAGTTGGTTGGAACTGCAAGGTCAGTGGTTCAAGCTCACCAGCTGCTCTTCGGAAATCCTACACAGGGTTGCTATGGGTCAGAACTGACTCGACAGCACTTAACAATAATATAATCATATATAAGACAGAAATCAACACTCATCTGTCAGTTTGTCGTACTGTGGTGACTTGTGAGTTGCTGTGATTCTGGAAGCTATGCCACCAGTATTTTAAATACCAGCAGGGTCACCCATGGTGGACTGGTTTCAGATGAGCTTCCAGACAAAGACAGACTAGGAAGAAGGAGTGACAAACTACTTCTGAATATTTAACCACTGAAAACCTGATGAATAGCAAAGAAATACTGTCTAGTGCTGGAAAATGAGCCCTTTAGGTTGGAAGGCACTCAAAATGTGACTGGGGAAGAGCTGCCTCCTCAAAGTAGAGTTGACCATGATGATATGAATGGAGTAAAGCTTGAGGGAGTAAAGCCTGCGGGACCTTCGTTTGCTGATGGGGCACAACTCAAAATGAAGAGAAACAGCTGTACAGCATCAATGGGCTCAAGCATGTGAATAGTTGTGAGGTTGGCCCAGGATCGGGCAGTGTTTTGTTCTGTTGTGTATAGGGTCATTATGAGCTGGTACCAACTCGATGGCACCTAACAACAACAACAACATAAGACAGAGATAGGATCGAAAATCTTAACAAGGTGAATGAAGACACACCAACAAACATGAAGGTGGCTTATGAACAGGCAGTTTCATTCTGTTCTACCTACGTAGCCATGTGTTGGAGCTGGCTCAAAGGCAAATAAAAACAGTCTAAGTGTACACACCATGTGGTGTATATGAGTATTTATACACACCCATTGAGACGGATTGGCACAGTGGCAGAAGCAATGGGTTCAAGTGTAACAGTGACGGTGAGGTTGGCACAGGGCCAGGCAGTGTTTGTTCTGTTCTGCATAAGTCACTGTTTGTCTGATTCACTTGATGGCTCCTAACAGCAACATATATTTGGATGTGCTGGTGTGCACGGTGAGGTAAGCACTGGACTGCTAACCACAAAGTCTGCAGTTCAGACCCACTAGCCACTCTTTGGAAATCCTACACAGGGTTGCTGAGATGGAACCACTCAAAGGCACATAACAACTAACATATTTAGTATACACAGAACACGCTGGAAAAGAAAGCGCAGACTGGTTAACAAGTGCTACTTCTGGAGAACGAACTGAATAAGGGTTTTTCACTTTTACTTCTGTAATTCTGTCCAGTTTTATTAAGGGAAAAACAAACCACTAAGCATGTGTAACTTTCATTTAATTAAAAAAAAAAAAGTTAAGCTCAAAGTAGCCTTTAGAAATCAGCTAGTCTATCTAGAGGCAGTGCCCTACTTGTCTAAATCACAAAGTAAGAGAGAGGGACAGGGCTCCTGCTTCCCAGTCTGGGTCCTATTAAGACTGCTGCCAGGGAAAACGACTGCCATCAATTAATGAGAGTTTGCATTGGAATCAGCTCCATGATAAAGAATTTGTTTTTGTAATCTGCTAGCCTTTACAACAAACTCACAAAGTTACACAGATGAAGAAATCTCAGGACCTTCCCCAAACTGGAGCTATAACTCTATCCTGCCAAAATGGCAGCAAGAACTCATACAAAATATGGGTGACAGATTTCCAGGCTTCCATGGAGGGTCAGGGCATCCTGGTGTGGCACTGTGGGTTAATGTGCTGGACTGCACAGGGTCACTATGGGTCGGAACTGACTCGACTGGTACAACAACAACAACAAAATGGAGTGTCAGGGCAATTCTTAGGCATTGCACAAGCCTTTTACTGAATTCCAAATATACTGGCTCACAGGTTTCTAAGGCAGGGGAAAACTACGGGAAGAATAAGGGAGCTGAAAAGGGTGTGTCTCTTTGCTCGTTACAAGCATCCTGAGAGGTATCAGTTTGCCCCAAGAAACTGGCTGTGAGAAATGGGGGGCAGGGCAAAATCAGGTGTCAGACAGACAAAGATTTGACACCTGACTCTGCCACTTGCTATTCTGTAATCCTGCGTAGGTCATTTCACCAAACCCAAATCCACTACCATGCAGTCATTCTGATTCAGAGTGAGCCTGTGAAGGGTTTCTGAAGTTGTAAATCTTTACAGGAGCAGGGAGCCTCATCCTTCTCCCTCAGAGTGGCTGGTGGATTTGAACTACTGACTCTGCAGTTACTAAGGTCCTATGCTACAGCACCACCAGGGCTCCTTCATTGAAACCTAGTGTCTTCAAATATAAAATAGGAATAGCATGGCTTTGGTGAAAATTTAATGAGACAATATGTTTAATGAAATGCACATATCCTGATACCTGTTGCTGTTTTTCCCCTAAATCACTGATCTGTGTCAGGGACCACATTAAGGGACCCACAAAGCCAGAAGATCTGTAGAGTGTGCTTCGTAAACACTGCTACTGCTCATGAACCAGAGGCCCCAGCTCTAAGGATTCACAAGTTCTCAGGGTTCTGTTACTTAAATGCCTTTACCACAAAGTAGACAATACTGTTGCCCTCACACAGAAAGAACAAACTGGCTTATAGAAGTTGGGAGTCACATAGTAGCCTCTCCTTTTTCCTAGTTTGTCTTAGTCTAGAAGCTTCCCTCAAACTTGTCCGCCGTGGGTGATTCTGCTGATATTTAAAATACTGGTAGCATAGCTTCCAGCAACACACAAGCCTCCACAGTATGACAAGCAGGTTCAACAACACAAACATGTGGACTTCACCAGATGGAATACATAGGAATCAAATTCTACATTTACAGCCCAAACAAGGCCAGGGCCGACTGTGGGAACAGACTATCAAATGCTCATATGCAAGTGTAGGCTACAGCTGAAGAAAACTGAAATAAATCCATGAGACTGAAAATATAACCTTGAGTATGTCCCACCTGAACAGATGTGATGCACTGAACACTAATGACCAAAGACCAGAGGAGTTGTGGGATGATATCAGGAACATCATA